TCATTGGATTTTTCAATGGCTACGTATTTGCGAACCAAATGATAGTTATGGTAGATTGGCTATGTTCTATATATATATTTGTACAGGAACATTTCTTAATGATATACAAATTGTTTTAGTTAGATTAGTTACATTAAATAAATATAGTCTTGTAGAATTTAATAATTATCCATTTTTATCAAAGTCTATTCGTGAATTTTGGGGACGTCGTTATAATCGTCTTGTTGGTATACTTCTTAAAGAAGCTATTTTTGATCCTATTCGCCGTTTACCATATTCTTCAGCAACAGTTGGAGCTTTAGCAAGTTTTATTATGAGTGGTATACTTCATGTACATGTTGCTGTTGCTGGATTTGGTGCATCATCTCCATTATCTCCATTTTTATTTTTTATTTTACAAGGAATTGCTTGTTGTATAGAAGTCATGTGTCCATTTACACCACCTAAACTCTTAGGAATTTTATTAACACATGGATTTCTTCTTATAACAGCACCACTTTATGTAGGATTATTTACACGTGCTGGTCCTGAATTTTATGAATTTAATAAACCATTACTATTTGATGCTACATGGTTTCCTAAATTACCTGTACCAAACTTCTGTCCAAAATAAAGATTTTTGATAGTTAATCATCATTGATATGTAATTTGTATTTTATCTGAAAAATGATTATTTGACAAATAAAAATGTTTTATTCCGTTCAAGGAAACCGACAACAGAGAAAAACTGGTATTTATATTGCTGTATTTTGTTTTACTGACAGAAAATTGTTTCCAATGTTTAATATCTACTAACAACTATCATTCTAAGTTTTACAAATGTAACTCAAATTGTGTATTTCTATACTTCAATAGAAAAGTTTTTAAACTAGAATTTTAAAGTTAATTATTGAAATGTATCCTATTGCGTTGTTGTAAAAGTAATTTGAAAATTCGACATTTTATGGTTGGTAAAGAGTAGATTATTTTAAATTTTTTCATACTCAATGACACCTAATGAATCAATATTATCTCATTCTAGATATGTTTCTTTTTTTTGAAAATATTTTTTAATTGTTTTCGTAAGAATCAATTCTTA